ACTGACCTGTGTGGACCAGTAGTAAGAGTACTGACCTGTGTGGACCAGTAGTGAGAGTACTGACCTGTGTTTACCAGCAGTAAGAGTAATGCCCTGTGTGGGCCAGTAATAAGAGTACTGACCTGTGTGGACCATTAGTAACTACTGATCTCTGTGGACCAGTAATGAGATCACTGACCTATGTGAACAAGTAGTGGGAATACTGACCTGTGTGGACCAGCAGTGAGAGCAATGACCTGTGTGGGCCACTGGCGAGAACACTGACGTGTGGACAAGTAGTAAGAGTACTGACCTGTGTGAACCAGAATTGAGAGTACTGACCTGTGTGGACCAGTAGTGAGAACAGACCTTTGTGGATCAGTAGTGGGAGTACTGACCTGTGTGGACCAGAATTGAGAGTACTGACCTGTGTGGATCAGTATTGAGAGGACTGACCTGTGTGGACCAGTAGTAAGAGTACTGACCTGTGTGAACCAGTAGTGAGAGCACTGACTTGCATGGACCAGTAGTGAGAGTGCTGACCTGTGTGGACCAGTAGTGAGAATACTGACCTGTGAGGACCAGTAATGAGCACTGACCTGTGTGGGCCAGTAGTGACAGCACTGACCTGTGTGGACCAGAAGTGGGAGTACTGACCTGTGTGGACCAGTAGTAAGAGTACTGACCTGTGTGAACCAATAGTGAGAACACTGACCTGTGTGGGCCAGTAGTGACAGCACTGACCTGTGTGAACCAGCAGTGAGAACACTGACCTGTGTGGGCCAGTAGTGACAGCACTGACCTGTGTGGGTCAGTAGTGACATTACTGACCTGTGTGAACCAGTAGCGAGAACACCTACCTGTGTGAACCAGTAGTGACAGCACTGACCTGTGTGGACCAGTAGTGAGAGTACTGACCTGTGTGAACCAGTAGTGAGTACTGACCTGTGTGCACCAGTAAAGTACTGACCTGTGTGAACCAGCAGTGAGTACTGACCTGTGTGGGCCAGTAGTGAGAGTACTGACCTGTGTGAACCAGTTGTACGAGTACTGACCTGTGTGGACCAGTAGTGAGAGTACTGACCTGTGTGAACCAGTTGTACGAGTACTGACCTGTGTGGACCAGTAGTGAGAGTACTGACCTGTGTACCAGTAGTGAGAGTACTGACCTGTGTGCACCAGTAGTGAGTACTGACCTGTGTGCACCAGTAAAGTACTGACCTGTGTGAACCAGCAGTGAGTACTGACCTGTGTGGGCCAGTAGTGAGAACACTGACCTGTGTGGACCAGTAGTGAGAGTACTGACCTGTGTGAACCAGTAGTGAGAGTACTGACCTGTGTGAACCAGTTGTACGAGTACTGACCTGTGTGGACCAGTAGTGAGAGTACTGACCTGTGTACCAGTAGTGAGAGTACTGACCTGTGTGCACCAGTAGTGAGTACTGACCTGTGTGCACCAGTAAAGTACTGACCTGTGTGAACCAGCAGTGAGTACTGACCTGTGTGAATCAGTAGTGAGAACACTGACCTGTGTGAATCAGTAGTGAGAACACTGACCTGTGTGAATCAGTAGTGAGAACATTGACTTGTGTGAATCAGTAGTGAGAACACTGACCTGTGTGAATCAGTAGTGAGAACATTGACCTGTGTAGACCAGTAATGACAGCACTGTTTATCACTGGCTCGACACAGGTTCAAACCCTACCCATCCCCGGAGTTGTTAACAGATATGTTAATATCATTTATGCGAGTCAAGAAGACTGGTACTGATCCTGTTTCTTTCTCATTAATCTTAGGGTGGAAGGTGTCTACTGAGCGTTGGCACTGACCTCATTATAATAATTGACCTTTTGTGACTTGTACTCAGTTTAGTTTTGTATTATTATAATGATGGGGGGGGGGGGGGGTGAATCTCACAGCCCCTGGAGAATGGAATATATTTTAATCAGGGATGTACTGCATCTGTAGATGTTATATTTTGTCTGTGTAGTGGGAGTCAAACCATACCCCGGCCGGGATTGAACCCGCGGTCAGAGAGTCTCAAAACTCCAGCCCGTCGCAATCGTGTCATTACGATTTCGTGAGTCATAGTGGGAGTCACTTAGGTGTGATCCAAAGAGGATTATAAATCTTGTTCCTTGAATCAAGATATCCTTACCAGCATCAAGGAATCTCTTTTGATGAGAAGTGGCAGAAAATTGGAGATAATTAGGTTTGTAGGAAGCAGAAATTAGCTCAAGTTCCTTGAATCAAGGAAATTCCCAAGGGCATCTGTTTATATATTTTAAGTGGAGAGGGAGAGAGAGAGAGAGTGCGTGGAATACTGAGAGGAATTGACATGGTGGACAGAGATGGGACACAGCAACAAGGGAGGGACAGTTGGAAGTTGAAGACACAGATGAATCACAAGGATGTTAGGAAGTATTTCTTCAGTCACAGTAGTCGGGAAGTGGAATAGTTTGGGAAACGATGTAGTGGAGGCAGGATCCATTTATAGCTTTAAGCAGAGGTATGATAAAGCTGATGGGGCAGGGATAGTGACCCACTGGCCACTACTGGGTCACTCTCCCTGCACCATGAGATTTATCATACCTCTGCTTAAAGTTATGTATGGATCCTGCCTCCACTACATCGCTTCCCAAACTATTCCACTTCCCGACTACTCTATGACTGAAGAAATACTTCCTAACATCCCTGTCATTCATGCGTGTCTTCAACTTCCAACTGTCCCCCCTTGTTGCTGTGTCCCATCTCTGGAACATGCTATCTCTCCACCATGTCAATTCCTCTCAGCATTTTATATGTCGTTATTTCTTCCCTATCTCTCCTATCCTCCAGTGTCGTCATGTCGAGTTCCCTTAAACTCTCCTCGTAGGACATACCCCTTAGCTCTGGGACTAGTCTTGTTGCAAACCTTTGCACTTTCTCTAGTTTCTTTACGTGCTTGGCTAGATGCAAGTTCCAAACTGGTGCCGCATACTCCAATATGGGCCTAACGTACACAGTGTGCAAGGTTCTGAACGATTCCTTATTAAGATGGAGGAATGCTGTTCCTAGGTTTGCTAGGTGCCCATATGCTGCAGCAGTTGTTTGGTTGGTGTGCGCCTCAGATGTGCCTGGTGTTATACTCACCACAAGATCTTTTTCCTTCAGTAAGGTTTGTAGTCTCTGGCCACCTAGACTGTACTCCGTATGCAGTCTTTTTTGCCCTTCCCCAATCTTCATGACTTTGCACTTGGTGGGGTTGAACTCCAGGAGCCAATTGCTGGACCAGGCCTGTGTGGTGTGTGTGGTGTGTGTGGTGTGTGTGGTGTGTNGGTGGTGTGTGTGGTGTGTGTGGTGGTTTTGGTGTGTGTGGGGTGTGTGTGGTGTGTGGGGGTGTGTGGTGTGTGGGGTGTGTGGGGTGGTGGTGTTGTGGTGTGTGTGTTGGTG